GCCTGACTCGAAGGAGCTTAGCTGGGCAGGAGAGGAACGTCCGTAAATCCGAGGCCACCAGAGGGTTCAACGGCCTTGTGGAGTCTAATACCAGCTGGTAGCTGGCATGGCCGCTGCATCTAGAGCGGAGGGCTGGTGACAACCTCCTGCTACCATGGCCCCAGGCACTATTTGGTCACAACCCTTGGAAAACACTTGGACTCTAAAGGCAGTAAGAGCAGGAATCCAGGACCTGGAGGACAGCAGTTTCTCTAGATGAGGAGGCTGTCTCCTGAGAGACACACTTGCTTTCTGTTGGCCTTGTTCTGTTCTGGTGACTGTTAATGTTAAATCTTTGCGCAGATGCTGCGCGGCTGCTTCTGGGTCCCTTTGCCTACACATCACATTCTTGCTGGAGCGTTTGAAGTGTCAGAAAAAATGAAGGCAGTTATCTGGGTTAGGCACAATTCTCACTGGTTTTTGGTTGAACATTTTAAATTCTGGACTCTGTCTCAAATGAGCTTTTTTTTTTTTTTTTTTTTTTTTTTTTTTTTTTGGAACTGGGGATTGAACTTAGGCTCTTGTACTTGCCAGGCAAGCACTTATTCTACTGAGCTATCTCTCCAGCCCCCTCAAATGAGCTTTTAATGCCCTACTCCAGTGTCTTCTGGACTAGGTTAGATATCTCCCAGCAAGCCTGCTTTCTCTGGCCAGCCATCTCCACTGACCAGGTCAACATAATCTTTGCCAGATCTTGCCTTCTCTTTGTACTGGGCCCTTAGCAAAACCCAGCCTCTCAGAGGAACCATATCAGGGGTTTCACATTATTAAAGAACATAAAGAACAACAACAAAAAACTCTTTAAAAGCCAATGGGAAACTCACAGCATTTTTTTGTTAAGCATCAAGAATGAATAGTCTCTGCTAGAAGTTCAAGATTGGCCTCAGCAAAAATGTTGGCACGGGGGACTGGGGAGATGGCTCAGTGGAATAAGGGCTTCGCTCGCAAGTGCAAGGACCTGAGTTCAGTCCCCGTTTCTGTCAAAATAAAAGGTTGAAAAAGGGGCTTGGGAGATGGCTCAGTGGAATAAGTGCTTCCTTGGCAAGCACAAGGGCCGGAGTTCAATCCCGGTTCCACCACAGGAAAAAAAAAATGTTGGCACCACCCACCATTTGTTGGGTGTTTTTTTTTTTTTTTTTCAATTTTAACATTTATTGTGTGTGTGTGTGTGTGTGTGTGTATGTGTGTGGCCAGCTCAGCCCACCAGGGGGCGGGGCTGGCTGGCATGTGGTGCTGGAGGATTGAACCGTGGTCCCTGTGCTTTGTCAAGCTTGTTCCAAGTAAGTACTTTAGACCACTGAGCCATCTCTCCAGCCCCTGTTGGGTGTTTTTGTAATGAAGTAAAATTAAATCAATGCAAATCTACTTCCCAAAGAGAAAGCTTGAACGGAGGAAGAAAGAGAAGGGAGAAGGAGAAGGAAGAAGAAAAAGAAGGAATTTGCAATGCAGCAGCTGCAAAAGAACCTCAAATAACAAAGATGGAAAGGATAGCTTGTAAATGGCACTATTGCTTTGCAGTACATCTGTGTGTCTGCCTTACAGGATGGAGTTGATGGCTATGCCTGGCACGTGGCACTTACGTATGAAGAAGGTAGCACTGAGCCATCTCTCAGGCCCTCGGTGTATCTTGTTACATTACTGAGTTTTAAGATTTAAATCTACATGACTAAACATTTATTTTTTTTTAAAGTTGAACGCAGAGTATTAAGCTTATTGCATTAGTTGTGGTCGTATTTAAACCAGACCAAATAATAAGCAATATTCCCTACAGGAGAAGATAAATTGAGTTTGGTAGACAAAATGCACCATTCTGGACACTGGCACCTCTGCTACCTAGCTGTAGAAGGAGAAGGAGAGAATCAGTGAACTTTGTTCACCTGAGACTGGGTGGTCACTTCACCCTTTTTACTTTCTACCCCATGGTGAAACTACAATCTGCTTTAAAAGAAATTTACCCTGTTACGGTTCATCTCCAGATGTACTTCCAAAGCCTCATGCTACAGGTGGGACTTTGGGCAAGTGATTGGATCATCCAGGTACTTTATGCATCTATAACTTAGTCCACCAATGAGCTTAGAGCCAGATGTATTGTTAAGGGGTGGAATCTGATTGAAGAGTGTGGGGTCACTGGGGCCTGCAGCCCGGAAGGGTCTCCCCCCCACCAGCTTCTTTCTTCCTCTGCTTCCTGTGTGTCCTGCAGTTGTCCTGTCTTGGAGGCAGAGGACTGTGGACTTCAAGCTCTACAAACTGAGCCCAAACCAAAGCCCTCTTTCTTTAAATTGTGCATGTTGGGTATTGGTCTCAGAGACTTAAAAAAAGTAACTAAGACAGATTTAGGTACCAGAAAAGTGGGGCTGTTGTTGATACTATGAATTATGAATTGATGCCCTGGGGTAAGGTTCAGAGATTTCAGCCATCCAGGCATGCAGAGACCTCCCTAGTGTTTGAACTAGTAACAGAACTTGGAATGATCTTTGTGGAGCTGGTTTTACAGGCATGCAGCATGGAAGAACTGGAGGACTGGAGAAGCTTCCACCCAGATTTCACAGGAAGGCCTGGAACACCAGGCAGTGTGACCCTGACTGAGCATTGCATGATGCTGTGAAAGTGAAGTGATGTTGTGCAGCCTCCAGGAAGGGGGAGAAGCCAGGAATGTGGAACAGCTGAAGAAAGCCACAGGGAGAGGGCAAAGTCAGCCTGGAGGACAGGCCCAAGGGCTGTAACGACTGGCAATGCCTGGGGGAGGGGGCTCTGGAGCAATGTGGAGTTCGCAGCATCTCAACTTGCCCTAAATACTGGACAGGAAGCTACAAGATTTACTTTATACATCTAGGTTTTGGTCTTGGTGTGATTCCATTGGTTTCTAGTTCCCTAGTCCTTTCTTTAGCAATGGGAATGCTTTAACTTTCTTTTGATTTTACAGAGCTCACAGCTAAGAGTTTGTCTCAAGTCTTGATAGAAACTTGGGACTTAGATTTTTCAGCAATGCTGAAACTGTAGGACTCTGGCAACTCTTAGAGGTGGACCAAGCACATTTGACATAAACCTTTCATTAATTTTGTTGAAATTTATTAATTAATAATGGGCATCACTGAATTAAACAGTGCCAAGGAAACAATGAAATTTACTTCTTCTCCTGCCTTCTGCTCTTGATATCCGCACACAGACCAGCCTCTGAAAAGGATGTTTTCAAATGGACACTCTACTAAAACAGTAGCATTCTCTAGTCTGAGCAAAAGATTGTCTTGTCATATACTGAGCCTTCCCGAAGAACCACCTACCTAACTTCTCCCCTGCAG